GTTTTACACTTTCATGTACTATTATTAGCCAGTCAACCGTATTGACCTCAAATGCGGTGACCTGAGCCTTTAGATGCTGATGATGACTCGTACCAAAAATTGTGAGCTTTCGTTATATGGCGTGTCCGTGGCGGCCCTCTGAACTTTGATGCTTTGCCATGAAAGAGCAAGTGTTGACTCCCTGCCCTCTGCATGCTGCACTCAGACTCAATCACAATCACAATCCTTTTATTGTCATTTTGCATATGCTTCTGTACACACAACGAAACTGCAGTCAGAAGTCGCAACTTTTTAAAGACTGTGTGAGGTAGTGGGTCACCTGTGTAGTTAGTGTGCTGTCTGTATAGGACTGTGTGTGTGTGTGTGTGTACGTGGATTTAAACACTCACGTCTCTTTCGGAGGCCAGATTATGTTTGCCAATAATCACATCTTTGTTGCCCTCTGACAGCACAGAAGTCCATCTACTCAGGTTTTCTGAGAAGTGTGTAACTCCTATCACCATCATGCATGTGTGTGCACAAATGCATTTTACACATACACTATATTGCCAAAAGTATTCACTCACCCATCCAAATAACCAAAATCAGATGTTCCAACCACTTCCATGACCACAGTTGTATAAATTCAAGCACCTAGACATGCAGACTGTCCCTACACACATTTGTAAAAAGACTGGGTCGCTCTCAGGAGCTCAGTGAATTCCAGTGTTGTACTGTGATATGATGCCACCTGTGCATCATATCACAGTCCAATTGTGAAATTTCCTCGTTCCTAAATATTCCACTGTCAACTGTCAGTGGCATTATAACAAAGTGGAAGCGATTGGGAACGACAGCAACTAAGCCATGAAGTGGTAGGCTACGTCAACTGATGGAGCGGGGTCAGCGGATGCTGAGACGCATGGTGCACAGAGGTCGCTAACCGTCTGCAGAGTCAATTGCTACAGACCTCCAAACTTCATGTGGCCTTCAGATTAGCTGAAGGACAGTGCGTAGAGAGCTTCATGGAATGCGTTTCCATGGCAGAGCAGCTGCATCCTAGCCATACATCACCAAGTGCAATGCAAAGTGTCAGATACAATGGTGTGAAGCACGCCGCCACTAGACTCTAGAGTGGTGGAGATGTGTTCTCTGGAGAGACGAATCGCGCTCCTCCATCTGGCAATCTGATGGACGAGTCTGGGTTTGGCGGTTGCCAGGAGAATGGTGCTTGTGTGACTGCATTGTGCCAAGTGTAAAGTTTGGTGGAGGGGGGGTTATGGTGTGGGGTTGTTGTTCAGGAGCTGGGCTTGGTCCCTTAGTTCTAGTAAAAGGAACTCTGAATGCTTCAGCATACCAAGAGATTTTGGACAATTCCATGCTCCCAACTTTGTGGGAACACTTTGGAGACGGCCCCTTCCTCTTCCAACATGACTGTACACCAGTGCACAAAGTAAGGTCCATAAAGACATGGATGAGAGAGTTTGGTGTGGATGAACTTGACTGTCCTGCACAGAGTCCTGACCTCAACCCGATAGAACACCTTTGGAATGAATTAGAGCAGAGACTGAGAGCCAGGCCTTCTCGTCCAAAATCAGTGTGTGACCTCACAAATGCACTTCTGGAAGAATGGTCAAAAATTCCCATAAACACACTCCTAAAACCTTGTGGACAGCCTTCCCAGAAGAGCTGAAGCTGTTATAGCTGCAAAGGGTGGACCGACGTCATATTAAACCCTATGGATTAAGAATGGGATGTCACTTAAGTTATTATGTGAGTCAATTCAGGTGAGCGAATACTTTTGGCAATATAGTGTACGTCACTGCCTTCATGTTGTAGGCTTTGATGAAATATGATTTTTTTCACACTGACTTGTCATAAATAGAACTTCAACAGAGTTCTATTTATGGTAAGTTGCTCCTCTCCTGAATCAAAATGATCACGTTAATGCTCAGTTTTAATGCAGCACACTGTGTTTGCAGTTTGCTTTCTGCAGAATGATCTGTGGTTAAACGTTGTTCAGATGGCATGTCAGCTATAGGGGATAAAACAGAATTTAAACACAAAATTGACTGCAAACTTTACTGCACTTTTGACTGATTGACTGATTCACAAAGTAATGTTTTTTTAAGGTCTTGAAAGCATGACCTTAGGGTGGACAAAAATGTTTAAAGCCAATTTAATTAATTGACTACAACTTGAATTTTGCTTCAAATCAATGAACGCCAATATTTCAGTTCATCATGCAATTAATTGTTGGTCGCAGTCCCTCTGACTTACTTTGAGTGTGAAAGGTAGTCATGTAGGACTGATCCTTCCCTACCCTACTGTCCAGGGTAGGGAAGGAAAAATATTCCTTCACATTAAACATAAGGCCTGCTTGTCCAAGTAAGCGCTGTGTCTGCATTCACGGCAGAAGTCAATCAATCGTAGGCCCCTTGTCACCAACTGTTATTGTGATTTTCATAGATAGGATCTGGATGCATAGCCAGGTGGACAAGGAATGTCCAGACCTATAGATAATTACGGAGCCCGACTGGTGACATCGATAAGAAATAAAAATAACT